CGGCTCTTCGGGCTTCCCGCTGCAGCGCCCGGCGCAGGGGCTCCTCCACGGGCCGCCGAGACCAACAGCGTCGCTGCCATCTCCCTGGGAGCGCTCGTGCTTCTGCGCTGTAAAACATCAGGGAGCTTTTTACTGGGAGGTTTTCATTCCTCGCTCTTCCTACGTAGGCGGTGCCGTTGGTCCGGATCAAAATGGGAGCACCGAGGCTGTGCAGCCGGCTGCGAGCGCTGGTGCGCGGCCGAGAGGCCGGCGGTCCTCCTGTCCGCTCCGAACCGCAGGGTACTTCGTACAAAAATCGAGCAGCATCCACAAATGCCCCGAGCCCTCCCTGCGGTCATGGCTGCGGTACCGCCGAGCAGGCAGCTGCCTGGGGTTAGCTGGGCTCACTAAGGGATCAAGCCTTTTTTTATTAGGTGCAGCTTTGTATAGTTTTAAACCTTCCTAAAGTTCAGCAACATGCTTACTAAATGCCAACCACTGAGGAAACGCACTAGGACAGTAGCAAGCAAATCAGATTTCAGACCAGCAATTTCAAACTGGACCAAGTTTCAGACCAAAGCAGGACCAGGTGGGACCGAGAACGTAGCTCTTCCATCAAAAGAGCTTCTAAACAACCCTTAAAAGCCCCATCGCCACGCAACGATCTTCAGGGATAGATGCAGAGCTGATGCATGCCGTGTAGGGGTGCAAGCCCCACTCTCTGAGACCTGAGAGCATGGGGACCACAGTGATCAAGTCCGAAATCAGAAGCAAAACCAGAGCATACTGCTGAAGTACTCATCTTTCCACCCAAGCATGCACCTGTTCTGTGCAATACACGGTTCCCCTCTCATTTCAGCGTAAATGCCTCCAAACAAGGGCTTACAGCAATGTCATACAATTGACTGTGAATGCACGCTTTCTAAAAGCACATTTCCAGGGCTCAAGGAGCTCAGCGAGCCACAAGCCGCTGTGCTAACAAGCTTCTCCAGCCAAAAGCAGAGACAAAGACCAGGGGCTAAGACCCCAAACAGCACCTGAGGTCTTTGCAGACAGTGTCGTGGTCATGTGCAAAGGAAGCACCTGCCAGGTGCGAGCTTCCTACAAGGTTCCCGGTGCGCTGGCTCTCCCACCGCAGTGCCACCACCTTGGGACCCCGAGCCTTGCAGAGCCCCAGAGAGCAGCGCAGCTTTCAGGAGCAGAAGGAAAAACACAACTCGGAAAACTAAACCTCAGCTTTGGGCAGGACAGGGAGGTCGGTTAGCGGAAGGCAGTGGGCAGGGATGGCCCGAGTCTTCTCCAGACCAGGCATTGGTGCGAGTCGAGCTGCACGCAAATTTGTATTCTGGCTCTTGGAGGGGGCTCGCAGCAGCTCTTGCCGCCAGCACAGAGGGATGCTGCTGCTGAGGCAGGATCGGTGCAGAGGGGACCTGGCACCAAGCCCTGGGGAGCCCAGCGTGAACTGTGCCACCACAAAGAGCGCTGCTAAGCGGTGTCCCCCGTGCATGGACCTTCAGGTTAGATGTCCACTGATGTCCGCTGGCCGTGCGCAGGAGGGCAAAGGCTCCATCCCTGCCATGCCGTGCAGCATTTGCTTCTGCTAGCATGACCCTATCGTAGCACACGGCTTTAAACCCAGACTGCATCACTTGAACACCCACCGCTGCTCTCGGGAGCCAGCGCAAAGGCACGCAGCAGCCTGAGCCCGTAAGAAAGCATCGGAATCCAAGGACAAAAATTCCCCAAACGCCCGTGTTTTGGGTCACGCTGCAGCCCCAGCTCAGTAGGCGCGGAGGACAGGGAGGACGGTTTGGGGCCCCCAGCCTTCCCCACGATGCAGACTTGCACGGAGGCAACCAGGGCGAGCGGAGCCCCTTCCCTCCCCAGAGAGGAGCCCCAGCCCTCG